GGAGCAGGCTACCAGAGCCCACTGGGAAGCAGCAGGGCTGATACGCAGCAGCCAGAGCTGAAGGGGGCCAATTCCAGACAGAGAGAAAGACAGGACTAACACACTCTCCACCTGCTACACCCTTGCACAACCTGAAGGCAATGCAGCATGCAGAAATCGACCCGACAGGCCTGGAGACAGACTGTCATTGCTGTGTGTCAGGCAATATGCCTGTGCTTGACCAACATTGTCACCCACGGTCTTCACGACTCTTCAGAGGTGACTGTGATTTATGATCTCCACCTTACAGAGGGGGAAATCAGAGGCTCATCGAGGTGAGGGCCCATCACACTGTAATTCATCTCTTGGATTTTCTGAATCAGAGCCCAGGCTCCTGTCGCTGGAGTCCTGCCTCCCTCTCCCCTCTCTGAGCTCTTGTCCAGTGCAAGCAAACAGCCTCAGAAGGGCCGCTTGGAAGCTCCAAGTCTTCCAAAGAAGCTCGGGCTCTCGCAGGAAGGCAGACCTGGAGCGACTGCGGAACCCATCTGCTCTGATCTGCAGGCATCAGCATTCCCAAGCCACATCCTGCAGCCTTCTTGCTGGGCATTTCCCTGCAGTGGGACCCTCAGTTGTTTTCCTGCCGCCCTAGAGCGCACTGGCCGCCAAGACGGGTGGGGGGACTCGGTCCCTAACACTAAGCCTGGGCGCCCATCCGAGGGTGGGAGGCTTCTCCGGCGTCACGGGCTTGACAACTCCCCAAATGACTCCAACGCGGGAGCTGCGCTCCAGCTGGCGGTGCGCCTCCCCAGCGAGCAGCCCGAGTGCCCGCTCCCGGCGCAGACAACCGAGGAGGAAGCCCCCAGAGCAGGGGCGTCTTCGCCCCGCTTCCCTCCATGAGGCCCTAGTTCCCGACGGCGGGCGCTGGCTTTCAGCGGGTTCGCTTTCTCCCCGGGGAGCCCCGGAGGCGTCCGGCGCGGGGAGGGCAACCTCGGGGTAGGAGACGCTGCCGTCGGGGCGCCCTCCAGGTGCCGCCCGCATCCCGTCCTTACCTCCTGGGCCGGCGGCTCCCCTGGGGGCTGCGGGCGCAGGCGGCGCACCCCAGCGGCGCGGCCGGCCCGGGGCATCGCGGGGCGAGGATGGCGAGCGTCGGGCCGCAGCAGCGGACTCTGCCCTCCTCGGGCTGAGGGAGGCCTGGCCTGGGCGCGCTGCGCTCGGCCCTTCGCGTGACCGCAGCGGGTCGCCCCGGGGCGGCCCCCAGGGCGGAGAACAGGCGGCGGCCGGCGTGGCGGGGAAGTGGATCCGCCGGGGCGGGAAGCGGGACGCGCTGGGGGCCGCAGGGGGAAGAGCTCGGCGGGCGGTGGAGTAGGTTAGAGGCCACCCTGGCAAATGGCACCAGCTGTGTGCCCTGGGCGTGGGACTGTGCCTAGCTTTCTGATCAGCGGACTGAGAAGAATACTTTCGTCCCAGGCATGTATGGAGAATTAAATGAGCTAATGAATGTGCAGTGTCTGCTGCTGGCGCAATAAACGTTAGTTCTCTCCCGTCCCTTAAAAGAGCGTGGGCCCCTCGAGAGGGCTCCTTGGCGCAGATACTTCCAGAGAGGGAGTCGTGGGCTCTCCCGTCTTCCCATGGGACTCCCCCAGTTTCAGTCTAACTGGAACTCAGGATTGCCAGAACAGCTAAATTTTGAAGAGAAAGGGAAAATCTGGCTTTTCATGAAATTGTTCCTGATTTTTTTTTTTGGAGGCAGAGTCTCCCTCTGTTGCCCGGGCTAGAGTGCCATGGCATCAGCCTAGCTCACAGCAACCTCAAATTCCTGGGCTCAAATGATCCTCCTGCCTCAGCCTCCCAACTGGCTGGGACTACAGGCATGCACCACCATGCCCGGCTAATTTTTTTCTGTTTTTTAAGTTGTCCAGCTAATTTCTTTCTATTTTTAGTAGAGACCCAGTCTTGCTCTTGTTAAGGTTGGTCTTGAACTCCTGACCTCAAGCGATCCTCCAGCCTCAGCCTCCCAGAGTGTTAGGATTACAGGCGTGAGCCACCACACCCGATTCCGATTTTTTTTAATGTTGGTGATTTAATGTTGGCCTGATTTTTTAAATTATGGTAAATCCTTGCAGGCCAACTATCAGGTGAGTCCTGGGCTCCTGCACCAACCAGCTTTACGATCACTCCCAGAGGAGAAAGAGGCCTGGGGGGGCTGTGACTGGCCCTGTCACTTGGCAGGAGGCATGCTGTCCCTCTGGATGGTTCAGGACTTGGTGCTAGGTACTGATGGCTGGCAAGTTCTATGGCAGACAGAATTACAGCCCTCCAAAAGATTCAACACCCTAATCCCTGGGAGTACGAATCTGTTACAACATTTTACATGGCAAAAGAGACTTTGCGGATGTAATTCATGTTTCTAATCAGGTGACCTTAAAATAGGGAGGTTATCTGGATCATCTAGGTTGGCCCTTAAAAGCCAAAGAGGAAGGCAGAGGGGAGGGGAGGGAGATTGAAGCCCACAAAGGACTCAGTGTGCCTGGACAGGGTGCTGCTGCCTTGAAGATGAAGGGAACTGCAAGAACTAAATTCTGCTGATGTCCTGAAAACTTGACAGTGCCTTCAGAAAGGAACACAGCCCTGCTGACACCCTTATTTCAGCCTTGTGAGACTGAGCAGAGAATCCAGCCACGCCTTGCCGGACTTCTGACATATAGACTGTGAGAGAGCTCCTAAATTCGTGGCGATTTGTTATGTAGCATAGAAAACCAATACAGGATACTGGCCCGCATTTCAACACCAGAATGGTGTTCTAGCCAGGAGGTTGACCTGCAACGCATGGCCACAGTTCCTCATCGGGCAAGCCAGGCACCGCATTTCCACCCCTCCTCCGATGGGTCCCACTCAATTCTGACATCATGTCCTCTGCGAGCCTTCCTCCCTTTCTCCAGGCCAATGGACACTTCCTCTCTGTGGTTGCCACAGTCTTCATGGAAACAACCTCATGGTGCTTTAGTTCATCTCTGTGCATATGTTGTCACACCTCACTAGGCCACAAGCACCTGTTGGAGGAAGGGGACAGGGAACTTTCATCTTTGAGTCCTCAGCTCCTAGCACAGAGCAGGCATATGGTAGCTGAAACAGTAAAGCAAAATTCCTGCTGGTCCTTGTCTACAAGGTCTCTAAAATAATTACTTTTTATAACTGTTTATTATGCGGATTACCATAAAAATCTCTTCATGCTCTTTAGAAAGGACAAATATTTCATCTTAAGTGGTGACTTATGGCAGGGTTGTGTTATGGCATTTCTTTTTTTTTTTTTTCCATACAATGTAAATGTGTTCATTATAAAGAGTGGAAACAACTAATCAAAGATAACCACTGTTAGCACATTTTGACAAATAGCCTTCTCCACAGCTCTCTTTACCTGCACACCCTTAAACATGCATGCATGCAGCTCTGTGCAAAGGTGATTACATCCCACACTGCAGACACTGTGACCTCTGACCTGCTATCCACCCTGCCCCCCCAGGAGCCCAGACTTTGGTCAAACATTTATCCTGCTTCTCTCTAGAGGAAGATCCTGCTTGGTCTAGGCCAATCCACACAGGGCATTTCCTGGCAATGGTTATCTGTCTAAGGGAAGTACACGACTTAAGTTGGCTCAGCCCGATGGAAAAGAAGTCATGAGCTTATAGCTTATGGGGAGGGATTTCCTCCTCTCTTTTCCTTCCCCTTCTCCTACAAATGTAAATTTTAAAAACTCGTATTCCTGACAGCCACTGCAAACATTTTGCAGCCACTTCTAGCTAAGATGACACTGTGGATGGCAGAGCAGAGAGGTGCCAACAGCCGCGTCTCTGATGGCCTCGAGGAGAGACTGCTTTTTGGTACCTCCTTCACTGGAACTATTTGGACTGACCTTTGGACTTAGAATTCTGTGAGCCCAGGAGACAGAATGAGACCATCTGTATGGCAAATAGAAAAATATCTGAAAAATATTTAATATCAAATGGAGGTGGGAGATAGTACCCTTCAAAGAGTTTGATTTCTTTTTTATGTGTGTGAGTATAAATTTTTTAAAGGATGCATATAATTATATTTTCTGATAAATGCATAAAATATTTTCCTGGAAAGATCTATACGCAAACTGCAATCAGTGCTTACATTTGAGCACACCACAGGAGGTAGAGACATGAAGGGAGAGGGATTCTTTCCTCTTATTTTATACCTGTCTATAAGGTGTCATTCTTATTTAATAACTATATGCCTATGTTGCTTTTATATGTTTTTGTATGGTAAAATCAATAGGGATGTGGGGATAGAATTTAACAGCAATTTTGTCATTTTTATGAACAAATATTTTATACAATGGAAAAAATGAAAACTGTGGGAATAATGCCTGAGAACACCTGGCCACATCTCTGCTGCGGAGGAGAATGAGTGAGGAGTAGGCCTTAGCAAGTGGAGCCCTTAGGAACCAGTCACCACAAAGCACACCCCAGCGGCCCTTTGAGGTACTGTACTAGTCGCTCAGGACGCCATAACAAAGTACCACAGACTGGGTGGCTTAAACAGTAGAAATTTATTTCCTTACAGTTCTGGAGGCCAAAAGTCTGAGGTCAAGATGCTGGTTTCTGGTAAGGCCTCTCTCTTTGGCTCATAGATGGCCATCGCCTCTCTGTGTCCTCACATGGTCTTCCCTTTGTGTGCCTCTGGGTCCAAATTTTCTCTTCTTATAAGCACAGTCATATTGGATTAGGGCCCAGCCTAAGACCATCATTTTACCTTAATTACCTCTCCTAAAGACCCTATCACATTCTGGGATACCGGAGGTTAAGACTTCAATATATGAATTTGGGAGGACGGGACATAATCTAGCTCTTAACAGGCACATAATACCAGTGCTACTTTAAAGCTATGGAAATAGAGGCTCAGAGAGCAGAATCAACCTGCCCCAGGTCACACAGCTTGAAAATGGTGACGGTGGGATCGCAAACCCACACCTACTGGCACTGAGGCCTTTCCACTCTGCTTTGTATCTACTAGGTTAAGAAAATGCAGAAAGTCCATATTTAACCTGAGAATTCTGCCTAATTCTATTTGCCAGTTATTCTCTGGATTCCAGAGGGTTTTGTGGAATCATTGTTTAAGCGCTGCAATGCAGCAGTCGGGCTGTATGGGCAAAGACAACAGTCATGGTTGGCAACAGAGGGCAAACCTTCCCGAGCTTGTTCCCAAGGCAGGGCACCCGCAAGCTCTGTTCAGCCACTGATCCCATCTCCTTCCCCTGCCCCTCACTCACTCCACTCCAGCCTCAGCAGATTCCTTTCTGCTGCTCTGACATTCCCCAGGGCCTTTGCTCCAGCCATTCTCCTAGCCTGAATGACTCATTCCCAGGTACACAGGTGTTTGCTCAGATCCCACCTTCTCAGGAGTAGGGCCCTGCTCACCCTACTGAATTCTTCAACCCACCCTGCCCTCCGGACCCCCTCTCCCCTGATCTTTTATTTGCTTGCATTGCCCTTATCCCCTCCTACCACACTCTATAATTTATCATCTCTTCTGTTTCTTGTTTACCGTCTATCTATGCCTGATAGAACGTAGTCTTCACTAGGGTGGAAATCTTAATTTTGTCCACAGATATTTCCCAAGCGTTCAAAACAGTGTCCAGAAAATAGAAGGCTTTCAAAAAATATTTGTCGAGTGAGACTTTCTGCAAGTAGTGTGGATCGGTTTCCATCAAAACCTTGCAATTAACCCCAGAAAAGAGGATGTGTGAAGCTGTTCTGTGCTTCAGGCTGTAAGAGGACACTATTTTCTCTCTAAGCTCCCTGCCCTGCCCCTTCCCCATGCCCTGTGGGGGAGCCCAGAGCCCCATTTTTCATCTTTCCTGTACCCCGATGGGGAGATGGTCACTGGTTTATTCCCCGCGAGCAGAAGGGTCGTTGCCATAACTGTAGACTTATCTAACTACATGTGAAGATTTGTAAGCCATGTGAGATTCCAAAAACAAAGTTTGCAGTCAAAAATGCTGGTCTGTTACAAGTTGACAATTGTATAAACAAAATTGAGGCCCAGTACTAAAACAGTAGGTAAAATAAAGCATTACTGTGGCTTTCTCTTATAACAAGCT